CCTCCCTCCCTCCCTCCCTCTCGCTCTCTCTCTCTCTCTCTCCTCCCTCCCTCGCTCTCTCTCTCTCTCTCTCTCTCTCTTCCCATCTCTTGGCAAAAAAACATGTTTCTGCTATCGTCCCACACTATCCACACTATTCTCTCACTTCCCGATTCAGGCGCGCATGCAGCACAGCAAAAAGGCATGTGAGACAAACCTGCAGGATGGGACGTCATTGGCCTCCATTCCAAGTTTGGCTTCAATTCTTCCTCAATCTCCGGCCAAGAATCATAGCCAGCGCTCCCAGCACGGCACCTATTCCCAAAAACCTTGGGGCGTGCGGACTGAACTGCAGCGACAGTGTGCGTCTAGGAACAGGAAATGAATGTTTCTTTCGAATATCAAAAGGTTTTACTTCAGGCTGCTGGACAATCTTTACAACCCCCCTCCAGCTTTTTGACAGGCCGCAATGGGACCCACCTTGGGATAAGCTGTATCAGCTCAGTTCCAAAGTTGAATGGGCAGCCCTCCTATTTGCAAAGAGGTGGCCCCTTCCCAAGACCAGTTTGGCGCCCATGCCAATATAGTTATAGAGAGTCCCACACCCATTGCTTATCATTTTTGAAGGCACCGACCCTCAAGGGTTGTAACTCTTCTAGGTCCTAGGTGTATCAAATATGCCCACGGCAGTATGGAGGCGCATCGTTCAAGCAGAAGCAGTTTCTTGTCAAATCTGAAATGAAACGTTTCGAATTGAAGTTCCCAGAGTACGTCTGACTATACAGGACCACAGCATGCTTCGGCGCTGAATAATTCAGGACGCAGCCGAAAAAACGAATGGTGGTGTTGAGATTCCACAGCAACCCAGTCCTCTTCGTCTGCGGAACTGTCAATCCTCAAAATGTCGCACAAGCGTCCCCTGCAATCATATCTATAGTGCACATCGTATGATATCTATACGTACACTTACACAATAAGATCCAGAAAAAAAAGTCAGCATAGACCCCGGATAGCAAAAGATATTATTGGGTGGCTACCAGGCGCTCGCCTTTTTTACTACGGCAAAAGGGTGAACAAAGCAAACAAGAAAAGGGGGGAAACAGAGCCAACTACCTTGACCGGTCCGTGGCCAAGGTCGAGGCACTCTGCAACCCAACAAAAGGGGAGAAAAGAGAAAAAGAGTGAAGGGCACCATGCAAACCAACAGCCGTGACACTGAATTACACAAGGAGGGGCACAACCGAAGATAACAATCTAAAAAGGGAAAGGGTTCAGTTACCTGGACCCGTCCGTAGCCCAGGTAAAGGCAACCCACAAATGAACTTGAGGCCGGGGGTGGATGACGAAAGCTAGCGGGGTAGGAGAAAGAAGGAAGGGAAGAGGTGAGTTGCGGAGGGACTGTCATCATCGTGTCGCGGCATTGTTCGTCCCAACGAGGATGCAACAATGATATATGATATATGATATATAACAATGATATATATATATGGGGGAGGGGGCAGGGGGGGGCCCTTCCGCGTGAAAAATCATGTGATGTCCCTGGGGAGCCCCGGAATACTTGCTAAAGCAAGAAGACTCTAGCGAGCTGACGCTAGCTTTCGTGATAATGCCAATAATTGCCAATAATGATCAAATGTAAATGAATAACGATGATGATGATGATGATGTTGATGATGAATGAATGGTGATGATGAATGATGAATGATGAATGATGAATGATGAATGATGAATGATGAATGATGAATGATGAATGATTGATGATGAAGATGATGATGACGATGATGATGACGATGATGATGACGATGATGATGATGATGATGGTGGTGATGGTGGTGGTGGGGGGGGTGGGGGTGGGGGTGGGGGGGGTCCCCCCCCTTTCTGTGAAAAATCACGTGATGTCCTTGAGCAGCCCCCGGAATACTTGCTAAAGCAAGAAGACTCCAGCTAGTTGACGCTAGCTTTCGTGATTAGGTCAAATCAAAGTCAAAAAAACGTGCAAGTCGTAAGCGAAATGTCAACGAAAACCAGTACGTGGAGAAGGCCCTCCCAGTAAGCTGGACGCAATACAGCGGCGCCATATCAATAAACTGAAACAAAACACGCAGAATAGGTCAATGCAAGGCGGGAACCATCTGCCTCCCTACCTCAACATCAGAGACACAGTACACTCAGGAGTGTAGAAATCGAGCGAGTCATGTGAATGGCAAAACCGGGTAACCCCTTAATAAAGGCAGCCCTCTTTTTCATCGTCATCCGACTAAGCCAAATTTGTGCACTATTGGTCTTTGGCGTTGTACCACACGGTAGATCAGGCCCAATCATCAAATAGGACTCTCGCAGCCACCCCTGCAGTGACACCAGCACCCAAGTTTCATATCGCACACCGCACTCTGACAGCAGCACCCTGAAGAAAAATTCTGCAGCGGAACCCACCAGCGACACCCTGCAACGGCACCCTGCAGCAGCACCCTGCAGCGGCACCTGCAGGCCAGCTCAAAGAAAACAGAACACAGTAACAAAGAAACAAACACCGCGCGCCAAAAACCTTCTGAAATCAAAACCCTACTGATACACATGTTCCAAATCTTCGCTGCCAAACAAAACTAAACACCGCGTTGTTCCCCACATCTTTGTGCGGGGTTCTTGTTTTTGGTTCTGTATCCTCCCCGCCGCTCCGCCGCCTCTCCGCCGCCTCCGCCTCCAGGCAACTTTGTCACACACAATCTTTCACACACACTCTCTCTCTCCCTCTCTCTTTCACACACAACCTTGTCACGCACAACTTTGTCACACACAATCTTTCACACACACACTGTTGATGTTTGGAAGTGAACTGCAATGACGATGTGGTTGTACATGCCTGGTAGAATTCCTGAGTCCATCATCCTTGATAAACAGGTGAAACCAGGTCCAAATCATTAATCGGCAAGGGGGTTCTTGGGTTAGCCACATCCCATCGCGGAAATGGAAAGACATGATTAGGCAGGTACGTCGATCCAGCGTCCCGGATCGATATCACAGAATGTCATAGCCGTCTTCGATGGCTGCAGAACTATGACATTCCCTGCAGCCCCCTGCTGTTAAGTAGTCTTTGGCGCATGAATTCGGAAAACATAACGTGCATAGTCTTTGGCGCATGAATTCGGAAAACATAACGTGCATAGTCATCAAATGTCCAGTTGTAGTTTTCTCAATGTGAATAGCAGTGTACACACACACAAAGGCCTTCACATGGAAGGCAAATTCTGAAAGACTGCCTAATGAAGCAAGCAGATCACGTCAATATAAGCAACGTTGAACTCATTCGAAAATGAAATTCATGCTTGGGATTAGGTGTATACGCACCTGCATCTTCATGGACAGGTCTTTCCAAAGAAGGCACTCTGAGGTAGCGGCGTGTAGAGCAAGTAGACCACGTAGATCAAAGAAATCGCGATAAATAAAGTCGAAATGGAAAGGACATGGTTAGATTAAAAGGTGTTAATTGTTATTGGCGAAATGATTGAATATGATGCAATCCAAAGTTTGTATTAGCGAAATAATTGAATATGATGTAATCCAAAGTTATCGTGCCCTTGTCCCTCACGAACATCAATTGTTTGTTGCAGATTGCGCAACACTTTGCGTGTGGAGAGCGGTATACACATATATACATATGTCTTCATAAGGAAGGTGACACTTCTGGGTTGCCGACGCGTGGAACAAATAGAGCAAGCAGTATGACTTTGGAGTGTTAAAAAGTGAAGAGAACTGCACTTCAATTGAAACATGGATACCACGAAATGAAATGGACACAAATCGATTGTATTCTTGTTCTTCCACAAACCCGTTTAAAATGAACGTTTATTAGTTGTCTATGGACGAAGGGCAGAATTCGCCAAAAACTGAGATTCCGACGCGTAGAACACGTAGGTCAGGTGGTTGAGATAGAACGCAGTGATGAAAAACAGTAAATGAATTGATTAAATCACAGTTATATAACACTTAAGCCAGTGTGTTGCAGTACCGTGGTCCAAATGAGGATGTTTGTAAATCTCTCTGGAAACATATGTCCACAAAATAGCATCTACTTTGGATCGGAAAGCTTCAAATGACACATAGCGTCCGTTGGAGATCAGTCGCAACGACCAATTTGATGAACCTCCACTGCAAACCTCATAAGCTCGAATGTCTTCCACTGGACGGTTAGCGAGTTGTTGTTGCCTAGACCACTTGGTTGCCTCTACCACCTTGGGAAAACTCAATCCATATTCTTGGGTGGTGTCATAGTGACTCTCTGATGTTTTCCATTTGCTGCATACTTCAAACGGAGCCGGTCGAAATTCATGCACTCCCTGTGACATAGTAGACCTGCGTGGAGATCTATTTTTCTCATATCTGGATCTAGAACGATCTCGAAAATGACGAGAACCACGTGATTGACGAACTGACCGGTCTCTAGAGTCGTGTCGAGAATGTCGAGCAGGATGGCGAGAGCGAGACTGACGAGGAGAATACATGAAGGTATCAGGAATCAATGGAGAAGGACCAAAGACTGATCGGACGATCAACTGACACTACAAAAACTTGAGCACAGGTACTATCGCCAAAGAACTTGTATGCTGTGAACGAAAGCATGCTAGGGAGAAAACGATACAAAAGGAACAGCAATACGTTCGACCACATCCTGCAGGTTGAAAAAGAAGAACTTATCATTTCTGAATACCTGGTTAATGCACAGAAAAAATCTGAAAAACCAAATGCATGATAAAGTGTTGGGTGCAGGTACACGTTTCTTGATGCCTGTGAGTGAGTGGAGAAACTGAACGGTGAAACAGGGTTCCCTTATACTGTATGGCGATCGTCGACATATGTAGCAATACTTTGCAGTGTACACAAATGACTTTTGAAACACCATCGCTTGTCTCCCTGACCATGGACCGCGTCGTAAAAGAAGCTTGCTGCCTGCTCTGCGACGACACCGCCCTGGTGAACTGTAATATGATGATGTTGTCGACTATGGGCAACTCCTACAATGCTTAGAGGTTTGTTTCCATCTTGACAATGGCTGTATTTTGCTGCTTTTACCATAGCTGCAATTATACTTGCTTTTTCAGCCTTGGGGTCGTTTCCTTGGATCATGGCTCCTCGACAGTAGAATCCAGGGACAGGTAACCAATCTGTGTCTGACTCATCCACTGCGGATGGGCGAATGCATCCATCTTCCAAAATGCCGCATGCTGTCAATAATGAACAATTGTGTGCAAAGGCATTTTGCTTTTTGTGTCCATAGTGCCTTCGAGGAGTTGAAACGGAAACGATTTCAATTCGACAGTCAGAGCAAATGGAACATCCTTGTCTCGAAAATGAACCAAGACTTCTTCAAACAGTTCAGTATTGTCGGCATGGATAGTAAACGCTTTGCAAAGGAGTGCACATCCGAAGCGTATGGTCGGTGTCATGTTCTTACCTTTCTCCTGTAATTGTGCCTGAATTTTCTGAAGGAAGAACTCAGTGAGCGGTCCTGAGACCATACTAAGTTGAGGTTCTGTCAAAAATCCACGACTAGGTGAGAAGTAATCGAGGTTGGGGACGAACTTGGAGGCTGTCACGCGCACTTTCTGGAGTACGAGAGCATTCTGAACACGTTGTTTCGTAAGTACAATATCCGATCGTACACGAAGAACAAGTGCATAGTATACTTGGCCCCAATCGACTTTGTCCGACTCATTTTGGAGTAAAGTTGTACATGTAAAACCAGCAACGCATGGAATCACAAAACATTTTCGGAGGATAGGATGTTGTAGTTCCACTACTTCCTCACCGTTTCTGCCAACCGTGAATCGCTGTAGAAATTTGAACGCTGTCTTTCCCTGTGGAAGATAGAAACTACTAAATTCACCATCATCACTGGTA